GAGGTGTGAGAAGGAGGGGTTCACATGAAGTTATCGCTGCTGCTGATAGATCAGCACCACTGGATTGGCCCCACCCCTGCCCTGCCAGCCCCCGCTGAGGTCCCACAGGGGCGGTCCATGCTCCTCCCGCGTGGCGTGTGGATAGCGCGCTGGCTGCTTGCTGCTGTGCTCAACGACAGATGGCCTGAACTTCGCGACCCTTGAACTGGGTGGTCTCCGTACGAGATATGTGCTGGGGTGTGTGCAATCTGGCCAGTCTTTAACCATTCTGTCTCTTTCGTATTCACATCCCCCATTCCCACCTCCTTCCCTTTTTACGAACCCCCCTAACGACTTGATACCCACCCGTCGATAAGTCAATTCAGTTTCCTTGCTGGGTTTATTCCGCCACGAACCACAACTTCGACCAAACCTACACCACAGAAGGATAGCTGTCCTCGTTCTCGAGCTTCACCACCACCACCACAGCAAATAGCACACCACATCTCCCACAATGGTACGCCCTCTACCACCACCACGAACCACATCAATTACCATGCGGTAACTAACACCACCTGCTAAACAGGCCCAAACACCCACCCAAAGGCGAGCCAACCAAAAGTTCGCCAAGGAGAACGAGGCGCGCATGGGCAAGAACATCGAGCAGATCAAGAAGAAGGTCCCCAAGGAACAGCTCAAGTCGCCAATCAGCCCCGTGTGGTTGGGTACGTCCTCTCTCCTCCCCCAACACCATATATCCCAGCAATTGCTGACGATAAAAACAAAAAAAACAAAAAACAGGCGTCCTAGGCTTCATCATCTTTGGCGGTCTCGTCTTTGAGGCGCTGAGCCGTATCTTTGGCCGGTAAATAGCCCACCAACTACTACCACGAAACGTCAATTTGTGCACCGAACCGGGAAATTTGAGAGGAGCGGTGGAGAGGAAATATACATTCCCGCCGAGCTTTTGAAAGTCATGCTGCCAGAGGGGGCATACACACCAAAAACACCGGGTCGCGGAGATGGGATGGGACACCCATCAAGGAAGGGTAGCGGGCGCTGGCTGGAGGTTGCCAAACCATTTTGTTTGCGCTTCTTGTTGTACCATGTCTTTTTTTTTGTGCGTTTATTTTGTTTTGTCATATTGGCCAAGAAGAAAAAAGCCATTGATTTGCCATTTGGAGTTCTTGTTCTTCTCTGTATACATATATCATATACCGTGCTGGTGTTCGGCGCCGAAATGGACCCAAGTTTGCAGCATTGTATCTACAGCTAATCCCCGGACTTTTCACTCCCTGCGGTCATCATACTCCCTCCTCTCTCTGTGCTCCCTCCGACTCCCATAATCTCTCCGGCTCTCATAATCCCTAACCTTGTGTTCCCTCCTCCCCTCAAACTCCCTCCTGCCCGCATACACCCTACTCTCCCTCAACACCTTCCGGTAATCATGCTCCTTATCCTCCACCACCTCTTCCACCTTTCTCCCACCCCAAAACCCCCTCTGCCCTTCATACCCCCTCTGGAAATGCCTCTGTTCCTTCCGGTTCCTGTACCCGTTCTTCTTGTTCTTGTTGATCTCCAGCCCAAACCTCGCCCAGTTGGCCCACCCAACCACCCCCCACAACACCACCCTCCCCGTCATCATCTTGTTGTCCCAAAAGTACAAGCCCAAATCCCTCACCCTCACCCAGTATTACAACTGCTGGTGAGTCGTCACAGCCCCACTTCCCACTTTCGCACGCACTTTCAACGCTAAAAAGGCAAGCACCGGCAGCCAACAAACCAAGAACAAACAAACCCAAGAAACCACACTAGTCACGCGCCCAGGCCCAGTTTTTTGCCCCCCAGTCTCGAATTTTCGGGCGGAAGGCAGCCCTGAACTGGCTGTTTCAAATTTTGCCAAAAACTGGTTTGAAGTCCAAACGGGGGACGG